TTTGAATGTCAGAGATGAAGGAGAAAGAATATTTCATCTGCTGGTTTACTCCCCAAATGGCTGCAATGGCCAGCTCTGAACCAAGCTGAAGCTAGGAGCCAGAAGTTTCTTCCAGGTCTCCCATGTGGGTGCAGGGGCCCAAGCACTTGATCCACCCTCTCCTGATTTCCCAGGCATAGTAGTAGGGACCTGGATTGGAAATGGACTAGCTGGTACTCAAACAAAGACCCATATGGTATGCCAGTGTCACATGCAGCAGCTCTACCCACCATGCCATAGTGCCAAGACCCAGTTTCACAACTTTTTGAAATCTATACATTTGAGAGTCCTTCAAAAATTAAGAATCACCCACTACCCCCGATTCTTGATCCTTCCCATCCTGATCAACTATGTAAACATCAATAAATTTTTTTAAAAGTTGATGAAAATATGTTTTGAAACAATTATGCACAGATTTATTTATTTTAAAGATTTATTTATTTTATTGGAAAGGCAGATGTACAGAGTGTAGGAGGTACAGAGTGTAGGAGAGACAGAGAGGAAGATCCTCCGTCCCATGATTCACTCCCCAAGTGGCCACAACACCCGGTGCTGTGCCAATCTGAAGCCAGGGGCCAGGAACTTCTTTCTGGTCTTCCATATGAGTGCAGGGTCCCAAGGCTTTGGGCCATCCTCGAATGCTTTCCCAGGCCACAAGCAGGGAGCTGGATGGGAAGTGGAGCTGCTGGGATTAGAACCAGCACCCATATGGGATCCCAGTGTGTTCAAGGTGAGGACCTTAACCATTACACTACCGCGCCAGACCCAGATTTCTTTCTTTCTTTCTTTCTTTTTTTTTTTTTTGAATAAGCAGAAGAAGCTCATCTTTGGGTTCCCTGCCCTTGGTCCTTGAAGCACCCTCCTCTTACCTCTTCCTTACTGAAGCATTCAGCTCCTAGACCTCAGCTCACCCCTAAACCAGGGTCCAAGACGCTCTTGGCTCCCTACTCCCATTCTCTCCATTTTTCTCAAGTGACCTCTGATCCTATCTAAAGGCCAGCCTGGTTAAGTGGACATCCCTAGACACACACATATGTACATACCTGTGTAAAATTTGCACCTGGAACCAGGGCTAGCTAGCTATACACATACACATAGCTGCCTGCACACACACACAAACACATACACACACACACACACAGTGGAACGTGCACCCACAGGCAGGACCAGGCTACCTGCATGCATACACACATCATACACACACACACACACAGCTGAGCCAAGGGCAGGATCCAGTTCCTACTCACCTCCCTGCATGCACAGGAGTCTCTCAGGAACAGACAAGTGCAGGTGATTTCTTCGTGGACCCAGGTCTTGCATCCTGGTGCAGGGGCTTATCTCCCCATCTCAGCAGAAATTCCCAGCCTCTCTATCCCAGACCCTCCTCTGCCTTCTCTCCACATGGGGAAGTCACCTCCTCAAACAAGCATCTTGTGATCATCCCCCACCTGCCAGCATTGCATTTTCTTTATGCGTACCTTCACCCTTGCTCCCTTGGGTCAGCAACCATTGAAAAGCAGCCACCATGGTTATGCTGGAAGAGAACAATAGCCATAGGTTTGTCAGCTGTCTATCTGACTCATTCACAGAAACAAAACCCCAACCTGTTAGGGCAATCTTAAGCCTTCTGGGGTTCTCCAGTTCAGAAATGCAGGTCCACAGCACCACAGTGTGGCAGAGCTCAGGACTGGGATGTGGGAGGACTCAGGTGCGTTGGGCCTGCTGGCCAGGTAGGTGGCTGTGCCAGGCTGACATGTCCCCTCACTGCTCTCAGGGCTGTGGTATTCCTGGTGCTTTCTCAGCACCAAGCAGAGCAGAGGCCATGGGGGACTCCCACAGAACACTTCCTTTAGGAAGCCTTCCCAACAGGTTTGTCTGGGCAGCATCCTGGGCCACACCCTAAGACCCTGGAGCTAGTCTCCCCCAGATGTCTTCTCTCCATCTGGCCACTAGCTCTCAGAGTTACAGACTCTTCCCTAAACAGAGCCCTCTATCCACCTCTCTCCCACCCGAGACAGTGGTAACCCTGAGCGTGCTGGGGACTCGGCAAGTGGTCTCCATCCTGGGTGTGGACAACTAGGCTGTGTCCCTGGCTGCCTGCCACCTACTGCAGGTGATGTTTGATGCCCTCAAGGAAGGTGTCAAGAAGGGTTTCCGAGGCAAAGAGGGCGCCATCATTGTGGGTGAGTGAGAGCTGGCCTGGTCCCTTGGGACTTGGTAGCCATGGATCCCATGGGGGAATCCAGGGTGATGACCATGACTTCCCCTGGACTGTAAGCAGCCTGGGTGCATGAGGGGAAGGCCGAGGCTCAGCCCATGGCCCAGCCTGCACATGATCCCTCGCATTGTCCCCCTGGTGTCGTAGGGTCCACGTGGGCCAGGCCACATTGGAACCCACCGGTGTCATCTTGTTGCCAGATCCTGCCCGCAAGCCGAAGGTCCTAATTGGGAACCTCCTGGAGCTGCTGACAGAGGTGGGGTTCTTGGGCCAAGGCTGGGATAACGTTGACCCTCCTGATTAAAGTGGTATCCCTCAAGTCTCCTAAGGAGCCCAACAACAGCCTCATCCTCTGGGTCATTGATCAAGGTAGGTGAGAGTTTACACTCAGCTCAGGGCTGACTTGAAGGGCTGGCCATGACCCCGGCTGTGTGCCCATGGCAAAGTTCATGCTTGGGGAGGAAGGAGGAGGCTCACTCTGTACTTCTGTGGTAAGGGAAGAATCAGTTGGGTCCAGCACGTTATCTCATAGCTTCTTTCCCTAGAGACGGACAACCAGCGAGCTTTGACAGGCCTACATGGATACACCGGGATCCTGCCCAGGGCCCCTTCAGCCTCTTGTGTTACCATTGTGACTTATGGCATGAGTGCTAGGTTCCCCTTAGTTCTTTCTTTTTTTAGGATTTGTTGGGGTACAGTTTCGTGAATTGTAGGTTAAGCCGCCATCTACAACTCCAGCATCTACAACTGGGTATTGGTTGATATCCCAGTTGCTCCATGTTAGATCCAGCTCCCTGCTAATGTGCCTGGGGAAGATGCAGATGATGTAAGACCTTGGGCCCCTGCACTGACAAGGGTGACCCAGATGGAGTTCCAGGCTCTTGACTTGGCCTGGCCTGGCCCAGCCCTGGCCACTGCAACCATCTGGGGAGTGAGCCAGAGGATGGAGAATCTCTGTGTTTCTCCTTTTCTCTCTGTCAAGCCTTTTCAAATATACAAATAAATAATCCTGCAAAAAATTATTTTGGGTGCCGTTTTGTGTCTCAGCGACCCTACTTCCCATCCAGCTGCCTGCTTGTGGCCTGGGAAAGCAGTCAAGGACGGCCCAAAACCTTCAGACCCTGCACCCATGTGAGAGACCCGGAAGAGCTCCTGGCTTTGGATTGGCTCAGCTCTGGCTGTTGTGGCCACTTGGAGAGTGAATCATTGGACGGAAAATCTTCCTCTCTGTCTCTCCTCTTTTCTATATATGTCTGACTTTGCAAAAAAAAAAATACATTTTTAAAAATTATTTATTTCACTTTCGAAATGGCTCCAATAGCTGGAGCTGGACCAAACTGAAGGCAGGAATCTAGAACTCCATCTGGGTTTCCCATGTGGTGGCAGGGGCCCAAGGCCTTAGGCCATCTTCTTCTTTCCCAGGCAGGGTAGGAAACTGGGTCAGACGTGGAGCAGCCAGGACTGGCACTGGTAGCCATGAAAGATGCCCACCACAGCATTCCAGTCAGTGGTTTAACCCCCTGACCTCTGCACCAGCCCCCAATGGCCCTTAGTTCCACCAGGAGCAACTGGAAATGCACAGGGCTTCGGGCAGTGTGGGCTTGGCCAGCACTGCCTCACCATCGAGCCTCCCCTAGCAGCCCAGCTGCCTCACAGGTGGTCGATCAGCTGGCCAGGTGCTCCACGCTGCTGCTGCTTCCTCTTTCTTCAATATTTTTATTTATTTGGAAATTACAGGGAAAGAGAGAACTATCTCCCATTTGCTGTTTCATTCCTCAAATGGCCACAATGGCCAGGACCGAGTCAGGCCAAAGTCGGAAGAGTTCCATATAGCTCTTCTGTTACCTTCCCAGGTGCAATAGCAGGGAGCCAGAATGGAAGTGGAACATCCAGACTCGAACCAGGGCTCCTGTAGGATGAGTCCGTAGGGGATGCTGGCCTTCCAAGAGCGTGTGTTGACACTGTGTCCGAGCTCTGTGCCTTCGTTGTCCGAGGGGAAGTGGGCTGACCGGTTCAGTGCAGATCGACCGCCGGTCTCCCACACTTAGCAGCCGAGCCCACTTGGAGGACAAGGCCTGGATGGGCCACCCGGGAGCCTGTCTCGCATCTGAGGGCTAGGTCAGGATTAAAGCTCATTGGTTCACCAGCGCTGATTGAGAGGCTGCGAACCAATCATGAGAGAGCCTGTCGGCGCGGCCCCGCCCAGCGCGGGCGATCTCGCCAGCCCGGTAGCCGGATGCAGCTATCCCGAGTCCCGCGGACGCCGGCGGGGCGGAGCCACGCCCACCGGAGGGTCCGGCTCAGCCGCCCGGGCCAACCTGCAGCGGACAGAACCGGTTCCATTGAGCTTGGACCGGAGGCCCGCCCCCGATGACGGCGCCGCGCTCGCCGAGGATTGGCCCGGGGAGGCCGCGCAGCAGCCAATGGCCGCTTCGCCCGGCGCGCGGCTCTTGAACGGCGCTTCTCGGTGTCGCCCGCCGAGCGACCGCGGCCTGTCGGCTGAGGGCAGCGCGGCGCCCCGGGCTCTCCTTCCGAAAGCCCCGCCCGAGGCTCCAGGGCGGGCGAGCGGGCGGCTCCTGGTCGAGTGGAGAGGCCGCCCGTCGGCCCGCCGAGCGGGAGCCCCGGGACGCAGCCGCCGGCGCCTCAGGACGGAGGCCTCACCCCACAGCGCGGAAGGCGGAGAGCCGTCGGCGTCCCGTCAGGGCCCGTGGCGTGACACCCGCCGGGGGCTCGGGTCCGCGTCATGGCCGAGCAGCGGCCGGGAGCCTGGTTCGGCTTCGGTTTCTGCGGCTTCGGACAGGCGCTGGGCCGCGGGCGCGGGCCGCAAGTGTCCAGCCCGGAGCCGCTGCCCGGGGGCACCGCCGTCCGCTGCGTGAGCGCCGCCTGGAGCTACACGGCCGTCGTGACCCGTGAGCGCCCGCCTCGCCCCTGCTCCCCACGTCCCGGGGACGCCCCGACCCTGACCCCCGTGCCTTCCGGCCCGCAGGTGCAGGCCGCGTGGAGCTGTCGGGCTCGGCGAGCGGCGCGGCCGACGGCTGCAGGGCCGTGTGGGCCTCCGAGGGGCTCCTCGTGGTGATGGGCGGCGGGCCGGGCCCCGAAGAAGCCGAGCTGCTGCGGGCCTGGGCGCCCGAGTCGGCGCTGCGCGGGGAGCCCCTCTGGGCCCAGAAGGTGCTGCGGGAGAGCGAGGCCCAGGCCGGGCCGCTGCCCCTGCTGCCCGGTGCCCGCGCCTACGTGAGCCCGCGGCCGCCGCTCTGCCGGGCCCTGGCCGCCGGGCTGCGGGCGCGCAGGCTGGAGCTGGGCGCCGAGCACGCGCTGCTGCTGGACGCCCAGGGCCAAGTGTTCTCCTGGGGCGGGGGCAGGTGAGCGAGGTCGGGTGGGGGTGATGGGGATCCCCTTCCTGGGGGTGTTGGTGAGCGAGGTCGGGTGGGGGTGATGGGGAGCCCCTTCCTGGGGGTGTTGGCCGACGGACTCTGTCCCCCGCGTGCAGACACGGGCAGCTGGGCCACGGCGGGCTGGAGGCTGAAGCTGAGCCCAGGCCAGTGGAGGCGTTGCAGGGCCTGAGAATGGCCGAGGTTGCGGCCGGGGGCTGGCACTCGGTGTGTGTGAGTGGTGAGTGAGACAGAGCCTCTCCAGCGCTGCCTGCTGTTCCAGGGAGCTTGAGTGGAGGAGGAGTCACACTTTGTTGGTCCCCTTGCTGTCTTTCAGAGGCTGGGGATGTTTATGTCTGGGGATGGAATGAATCAGGACAGCTGGCTCTGCCTACCAGGAGCTTGGCGGGAGACTCAGGGCAAGGTGAGGCTGCCTCGGCTTCCACTGGGTGGGGTGCAGCCGGCCTGGAAGCTGCATTGCACAGAGGGAGCTGGAAGGGGTGGGCCTTAACACAGCAAGCTCAGCTACCGTCTGTGGCACCAACATCCCTTATGGGGTCAAGTCCCAGCTGCTCCATTTCTGACCCAGCTGTTTGCTAATGCACCTGGGAAAACAGCAGAACATGGGCCAAGTGTTTGGCCTCCTGCTTCCACCTGGTCCAGCCTTGGCTATTGGGATCCCTTTGGAGAATGAACCAGCAGGTGGAATCTGTGTCTCCTGTCTCTCTACCTTTGTCTTTCAAACACAAAATAAATGTTTAAAAACAAAAAGGGTGGTGAGATCCTGGCCATCCCAGAATATACCACCGTACCTTAGGCATTCTGGGAATGGTGGGAAGAAGCCCAGGTGTGCATGGCTCCTGGCTCCTGCAGCTCTGTGCAAGGCAGTGCCAGCTGTGCCCCTGGACTGCAGTAGCAGTGAGGTGATGTGTGAATGAGGGCAGAGCTAACTGAACGATTGCAATCACTGCCAAGGCGCAGGGCTGCAGGAAGATGGCTCGGAAGAGGAGAGAGCAGTGGAGGATGAAGATGCGGTTCCTGCTGCCTTCATAGCTGTGCAGCCCTTCCCAGCCTTGTTGGATCTCCCCCTGGGCGCAGAGGTGGCCAAGGCCAGCTGTGGGTCCCGACACACAGCCGTGGTGACACGTGAGTGGGGCTAGGCATGCTGGCTTGGGGTGGAGTGGGATGGCCACCAGCCTACTGGGCCTTGTGGGGCATCATTGGCTGTGCAGCTGCCTGTGTACCTGTGCTGGGTCAATGTAGTGAAGCCCCTGCTGACTGAGCAGCAAGTTCTTAAAGAACCACCAGGACTCGAGGGTGGCAGCGCTACCCTGTACCCTGGAGTTGGGTTAAGTTGTCATCCCCTTCTTGCCACCCCAAGGGGATCAGATTTCCACCCAGGCAGACACTCAAGTCCCATCTGAAGCTCACACTGCCTCACTCAGCTGCTAAGCCTCATTCCCAAGGAGCTGAGATGGGAGCTCCCAACCTCCTAGGCACAGAAGGTTCTTCATTCTGGAATGACTGCTGGTCTCCAGCCTCCACCACAAACACCAGCCTTTCCTGGTGTGGTGGTCTCCCCAATCCAACCTCGAGACCCCTGAACTCAGCCACACAAGTCGAGGCAGGCGGCAGCTGGGAACATGAGCTGTTTGGGTCTGGGTGTGTTGACCACACCCAGTGTGATGTGACAGTGCTTCTGCATCACCCAGTTGGGAGGTGGCTTGGGCCAGGGCCAGACCAGGCAGGGGCCTTGTCATATAGCACTGGTGACAGCTACTCTGTCCTTCTGTTGCAGGAACAGGCGAGCTCTACACCTGGGGCTGGGGTAAGAGGTTTGCCTCCTGGAACCCCTGAACCAAGGGGAGAGCAGATCTGGGAGGGCAGTGCAGGTTGGACGGCCATACTGACAGGCGAGTCGGGGGACAGGCAATAGGATGATTGCCTGTGATAAGTCCAGTGATGACAGGACTCTCTCCAGGCAAATACGGACAGCTTGGCCACAAGGATACTGCCAGCATGGATCGGCCCTGCCGGGTGGAGTATTTCATGAATAAACAACTCCGAGTGACGACTGTCACCTGTGGGCCCTGGAACACCTACGTGTATGCTGTGGAGGAAGAAGAGAGCTGATAAGCCTGTGTGAGCATGTATTTCTTCAATTATGTGGAAAATGCATAGAACCAATGTATACACATGCAGAAGTTAGACATCTGGAAGGCTCCCACTTGGGTCCAGGTGAATCCTTGCCAGCCCTGCTCTGGCCCGTTCCCGTCAGCTTCCTTAGAGGAAGCCCCTTCCTTTGTACCTAAGAGACACCTGGGGAGTGTTTGAACACCTGGGACCAGCACCCCAGATGCTGACCTGAGTCACTTGACATGGGGCCTGGCTGCTGTGGGATTTCAGAGCTCCCCCAAGTCTCCCCCAGATCATGGTGGGAAGCCATCTCTAGGTCATCTCTGTCTATCATTGTTCACTCCCCCGGTGTTTTGTAGAATCTCAGCACCGTGGTGTCCTTATCCAGTGCAGCTCTGTTTGTGTTTTACTGGTCAGTCGGTAGCTGGAATCCTGTGTGTGTTCGTTTATGTCCCATTTTCCCACCCTTAGCCTACTGTGGCATGGTGCCAGTCCCATGATTTTATGCTGTATAGGATTCCACTATGTGAACATGGAGGAGATCCTTTTCTCTGGTGTTTGGTTGTGACTACTGTGCTAAGCAGTGTGGGCACAGGTGCTTGTGACCTTCTGCAGAATATTCAGGGTAAAACTTGGAGGTCAAATAATATTTTTCACTTTGCCAGGTAGTTGTGTATGCTCGCAAGTTGTGTGGAGTTTACTGTGACTCAAGTATCATGTGGATGTTCAGTGATCTGATTTACTTACTTAACATTTGATTTATTTAATGGATTTGAAGGAGATCTGTCATCCACTGGTTCACCTACAGTAACCCCACATCAACTGGAGGAGGCGCAGGCCAAAGCTAGAAGCCATTTTGGTCTTTCATGTGAGCAGCAGGGACGCAGTATTTGGACCCTCATCTGCTTCCTCCCAGGCATTATTAGCGTGGAGTGAGATCTGAACCTGAGCGCTGCAGTAGAGAATGTGGATACCCCAAGCAGGGACTTACCTGGCGGCAACACAGCTCTCACCTGTGTTAGGTTGTATGATAGAGAGCACATGGAATGGGTATTTAACCCTCTCATCTAGGTGCTTTTGTCCACGTCAAGAGTTCCTGTGTGTGAGTCTTGGCTACAATACCGATGGCCCAAGTAAATGGGCTCATGTCGCTTGCCTGCAAGACCTGAATAGTGGTCCTTGCTCCAGTCCTTGCCCCGCCCCAGCTTATTGCAGGCATTTGGCTAGTAGCCAGTGGGTGAGAGCTCTTTCTTTGTCTCTCTCTTCCTCAGATGAATACATTTATTTTATTTTACTTGATAGAGTTATACAGAGAGGGAGTGAGGTGGAGGGGGACCTTCCATTTGCCAGCTCATGCTCCCAAATGGCCACAACAGTCATTGGTGATCCAGGCCAAAGCCAGGAGCTTCATCTGGGTCTCCCAGATGGGTGCAGGGACCCAAAAACTTGAGGTATTTTTCACCATTTTCCAAGGCCCATATGGGATATTAACATTGCAGGTGGTAACTTAACCGGTTATTCTATACCATTGTTCCCAAAAGGTTTTTTTGGTTTTTTTCCCCCCAATATTTTTTTGGGGGATGATTTTTACATAGTTGATTAGGGTGATCAGGGTCAAGGGTTACAGGAAGGTTGGGTGAGACCATTATTTCCACATTGTCTTTTTTTTCCATCCTGTATCTGGGGATGGGGAGGGATAAGGGGAGAAGTCACACCCAGCCTCCCAAATGCTTCTATACCCTGGAATGGAAGACAGACACCCACCACCACCTCAGGGTCCCTGATGTAGGGTATGCTCTGTGGGTCCTGCCCAAGAGGTTTTGATAGTTCAGCAATTCTGAATTATTGCTGATCATACCACTCCAAGCTTGATGAAATCTCTCCAGAATCCACTGGTCAACATAATCTACCCTAGAGTCTGCCCAGACACTCACTGCTGGGGTAGTTGATCAATTTGTTCTGTCTTCCATCACCTATTATGGTACCAGGTGTCCTCTGCAGACTGCAATGTACTGCCATATCCTCCATGTGCACCTGGGTATGCTGTCCACTACTCCATCTAAGCCACTGAGGAGGCCCAGCTTTGAATCATGCCCTCCACGGTCAGACCATGGAACCTGCAATTCTCTTCATGCTTGGGGTTGAGTCCAGCAATTCAGTTGGGGCATTCCTAAAGAAACTTCATCTGAGGTGAATCTAGACCAAATTCTTGTGTCTGCTTGCCAGTACAGGTCCTGCATAGTTCGTCACTCCAATCAGCTTATGCACATGCTAATGATTACAATTGATGGGTCAGTTCTGTCTTCTGCACAAACCAATAGGTGTTGCAGCCCAGACTGATCTGCTGATCACACACTTGGCCCTCACGCAAACCAGTGGGAGCTGTAACCTAGTTGAAGTGACCCGCAATAACCCCCAGTAGTCCCACCCCTGCCCTGGTTCCTGTGCTTGCTAGTATGTACAGCAGAATTGTCTATTCTGTCCCACATCCCATTAAGTTCTCATACATGTCAATGTGCATTGAAACCCAGTTCAACCAGTACACACATGCCAGCAGGTGCCACTGTCTAGCCATACCTGCCCCAGTCCTGGTTCTCATGTTCACCTAACAGTGGCATCCCAGGAGGGAAGTGCCCACTGTTTCCCTGCTGGACCCACTGCCACTCCCGAATCTTAAACTCTCCAGGTGATTCTGCAGTTTAACTTGACAGAATTAGCCCTCAGTGCCAGCATCTGCCAGCTGATGCTGCAGCGAAGTCCAGCCAACCCATACTCACTCTGGCTTTTCCCTGATCCAACTCACATGAGGCCCACAGGTGTGATAGCCCTGCCCGGCCTGGTCTGCTCCCATCCCAACTCAACGCTCACCAGTGGGAGTAGTTATCCAGCAGGGGAATCCAATGCAACCCCTCTACCGGGTTTACCCCACTCCCATCTCTGACTCTCAAATGTGCTGGTTGGGTGCCATGGCCCAATATAGCATGGTCCGCCTTACCTTGGCACTTGCCAATGGGTGCTGTAGGCTGACTGGGCCCAACCCACCCCCAATTCTAGCTCACGCTGGTGGGTGTTACAGCCTAGCCCAGACCAGCTCGCCCCTGAGTCCTGACCTGATCACACTCCATTCTGGTGCTCAGATTCTGCCTCGGGTGATATGAAATGGCCCAGTCTGGTTTTCCCCCAATGTGAGCCAAATGTATGCTGGTGGGTACATTACCTGATCTAGTGTGGGCTGTTCCCTTTCTTGGTTCTTGTGCTCACCTGCAGGGACTGTGTCCTCACGGAGGAGTTCCCCAAACTCCTCCATCTGAACCTCTCCCTAATGCCAGATCTTGCACATACAATGGGTCCGTGAGCCACCCCTACTTAGTCCACCTCCTGTCCTAGCAGGAATATTGGCTTTTCCTGACTGGACCTCACCCATTCAGATTCTTGCTGTTGGATGCTACAACCCAGAAAAGCCTGGTCCACACCTAGACACAGCTCATATATGGCTCAGTAGTTGTAGAGTGTTAGTCCAGCCTGTCCTACAACCACCCTGGTTCTCATGAGTACCAGTAGGTGCTGGAGTTTAGTCCAGTCTAGCATACCCCCAGACCCAGTCCACACCTGTGCTGAAGGAGACTGCAGCCCCAAACCTGACCCTTGCACTCACCAATGGAAATCACACCCTGGCCAGAGCATCCCCTTTGCTCCTCAACCAGGCCTATTCCCAGCCGTAAATTGCGCTAGTGGTTACTCTAATCCTGCTTGGCATAGTCCTTCATCTATCTTGGCCTTTGCCTTTGGATGCTGCAGTCAGCCCCTAGTCCCAACTCTGACTGTCAGTTATTGTAACCTGGCCCTGCCCAGTCTTCCTCCATCCCTGGATCATACAAAGCAGTAGGTGTGGCAGCCTAGCCTAGCATGACCTGCACTTCAGCCTGGTTTCTCCACTTGTTAAGATTTGCTCAGCCCTGCTCAGTCTGCCCCCTTCCAAAACTAACCCACACATTTGCCAACAGTTGGAGCTATCTTGCCCAGGTTGCCCAGCCCCAAGGCCTGAGCCATGTGCTCACCAGAAGGAGCTATCACCCCCTAGGGAAGTTTCCCAGATTCCCCCACTCGGCCCAGACCCAGATCTGACACATGCCCTGAGGTGCTAGGTCCTTACCCGACATAACCTACACCCTCTGTTCCAGCCTTTGTATGGGTTGATGAATGTTGTGACCTGGCTCACCCCACACTGTTTTAGGGTGCACATATGGCTGCTACAACCTGGATCTGCCCAACCTATTCACGGTCCCTGTACCCACGAGTGTTGAAAGGTTGTGTGGTAACACCTAGCTCAGCCCATCACCACCCCAGTTACACCCCCCCCCCCAGGATTTTGTTTTTTATTAGAAAACCAGATAATACAGAGAGGAGGAAAGACAGATCTTCCGTCCGATGGTTCATTCCCTAAATGGCCCCGATGGCTGGTGCTGAGCCAATCCAAAGCCAGGAGTCTTCCAAGTCTCCCACACTACTGCAGGGTCCCAAGGCTTTGGGCCATCCTTGACTGCTTTCCCAGGCTATAGGCAGGGAGCTGGATGGGAATGGCGCTACTTGGACACGAACTAATCTCCATATGGGATCCCAGCACATACAAGGCAAGGACTTTAGCCACTAGGCTACACTGTACCCCAACGACAGATATACAGAAAGGAAGATCTTCCGTCTGACAGTTCACTCCCCAAGTGGCTGTGGCTGAGCCAATCCAAAGCCAGGAGCTCCTCTGGGTCTCCCATGAGGATGCAGGCCTTGGGCCATCCTCAACTGCTTTCCCAGGTCACAAGCAGGGAACTGGATGGGAATTGGGGCTGCCAGGATTAGAACTGGCGACCATATGGGATCCTGGTGAGAGCAAGATGAAAACCTTAAACACTGCACTATCATGCTGGGCCCATGTACCCCAACTCTTGAACTAACCAGCGGAACTTGTATTTACAGGGTTTTGCTCATGTATCCCACGAAGAATCTACCCCCAGCCCTGGTTGTTTTGTGTGCTGGTTAGTGTCATGGCTCTGCCTAATGTGACCCATCCTCTGTTCCAGTGTTCAGTCAGGTACTGGATTCTAGTCCTGCTACACAGGCCCCCAGCCCTGTTATGTGGACTGGTGTGTGGTGGTCAGCCATGTTCCACGCTAACAAGCCCAGCTCACAACTCACATTGATCTGGTGCATCACTCTTACTCATACAGATTTTTCCAGTCTCCCCTCCAAGCCCCTAGGTCTCAGTCCCCTCACTTACTTGGCCCTGTTGTGGGGTGTCCTTCAGGATTCATTCCTCACCTACAAGTACAGTTGCCTTATGCATGGATGTCCCTAGGCAGTAATTCCACACCCCCCAAACCCCAGAACTTGCCGCTGGGCAGCCAGCGGACAAAGCCTGACACGGTCAGTTCTTTGGCCGCCCACAAGCTCAGGATTTGCCATAGTCCTGAGCAAGCACAGAGCTCTCAGATCCACCCACAGCATGATTGCTGTGGACGGAGGAAATTTTTGGACCTTGGGCTTGGACAAGCTCAGGATTTGCCTACTCCTTGGCAGTGGTGAACAGGGAGCTAGGATCCTCAGCAGGAAGCCCGACCCAGCACAGTTCCCCCAGCCACAGCCACTTGGCTGCGAGATTCAGACACTCACACCTCTGAGCAGACTTACACGGATTCCACTCACCAATATGGCCCAAAAGGTTTTTTGAAAAATACATATTGAACTCAAAACTTAAAA